AAAAAAACTAAACAAAAAGCTCTCCTATCAAGTGACTCAATTTGCTGGTGGTAACATTTCATGGAGTGAAGTGACTGAGCAGCAGGAGGATAGTGATGGTCAGGGTGCTTCGATGCGATTATTAAAAAAAAAAAAAAAAAAAAAAAAAATGGATGGAGCGAGCTGATTGGCTCCTGCCATGATGATGATGAGTCTCAACCGTCGCTGGCTCGTTGGGAAACTTGGGTGTGGACTGGTTAAATGCGTTTGTGAATCAGCCGAGCTCAGCAAGGTGAGTGCGGGCGAGTACCATGAGTGAAGTAAAGGCGACGACTGAAGAGTTTGTGGGCTAATTCTCCCAATGCTGAAAGGTTCAAATACAAACTGCGGCCTCTGTTATCTCCCTCCTCCGTCTTTCTCTCCTGTATTCTCAGTCCGTCTGCAGTGCAGGGCTGTCCAATAAACATAATGTATAAATGATCTTAAAAATAGCATCTCTTTAACAGTAATACAAAAGTTTGGCGATGAGGAGTAGAACTGTTTTTTTTTTTTTTGCTGGGACCAGCCAAACAAGTTTGAATCAAATATTGAAGACGTATAATAGAGAAAGCTCGACACGTGAAATGAATTAGTTCTCCCATGTGAACCCTTTGATTTGTTCACACACTTAAGTAGACCCCCACCATGTATCCTCTGCTTAGCGCCAGGCTTCAGGTTACGTGACGGCCTCAAGAAGCAACATTCAGTCTCTGCTAACGCTCAGTGTGTCCACCAGTACACAGAGCTACTGTCATCCAACAGTGGAAACCAAAAAAAAAAAAAGTCAGAAATCTGTAGACTTCATGAAACGACCATCAGCTGTCGCTGGCCCACCGGAACTCTCCAGACCTCCGACCCGCTCCTCGTTAGATCATGGCACGTACAGGACTACAGACAAAACCCAAACACTAAGACAAGTACAGCAGTGAGAGTGACGCTGCACAAACAAAAAGGCATGATGGGAGCAACAATCACATGAAATGAGAGGGACATAAGCAGGACTTTTAGAAATGTCATCATCTGTCTAAATGTCTGTGATGTGGTCCTTTAGTTTCATGCAGGATTTCACATTTCGTGGACATGATGTCGACCTACCAATTAGTTTTCCAATGTGATCACTGCGTTGCTCTTCTTGTGTTGAATGGAGAATGAAATCATTGCTGGCATGAAAGTTAAACACATTTTTAAATGCACTGGTCCAAGACAATCGCCTGTCTTACTGTTGAGCGATGAATGTCTGCTGAGAGATTGTTTTGGTTTTTAAGAGTTGAATTTTCTGACATGATGAGATAGCCAACCGCTGGATAAGTAGAATATAGGCAGAATATTAGCAGATGGAGTATTTAGATTGTGTGTTTATATGTGCATGCACGTATGTGGTGTGTGTGGCTCAGAGGCTGCATGGAGGAGGAGCGGTGGGCTGCTCAAGCTGCCACGATGGACCAGCAGGTGACTCCTCGCTGTCGAATAAGAAGCCTCGGCTTAGTTGAGGGGCGGGCTCGGGTCGAGCCGGGGTCATCTCTGCCTGGACCACCGGCTGTGAGGGGGAGGAGTGGGAGGGAGATTGAGGAGAGGGGAGCATGTCCGTTGTGGCAGAGGAAGAGGTGGAAGACGAAGAAGGCTGATCCGTGAGGGACTGCTTCTGAGATTCAGTCACAAGTGGGGAAGGAGACGAGGAAGAGGATGATGATGATGATGGAGTCTGGGCAAGGTGCTCGGGACTAGAGGGCCCACCAGAGGAGGAGCCTTCTCCAGCTGACGTGGCAGGTCCATTACCTCCCTCCTGCTCCGCTGTTCCCTCCCTCTTCGCGTCATCTGAAAGCGCGCCATCTTTCGGCTTCTTATCCGCCGCGGCTACTTCTTCTTGCCCTGCGGGGCTCTGATTGGCTGCCGGGGCGTCTTGGTTGGTGGTTGGCGATTGGCTCTTTAGTTGTGAGTGACAGAGGGGGCACGTCTCCTGGACATAAAGCCATTTCTTCAGACAGCCAGCGTGGAAGAAATGACTGCACGGAGTGATCACAGCGTTGTTCATGTCCTGGAAGGGATGAGCACATAAACATTGTTATGTTTCCTTTGACATTTCATTCGCCAAGCTTTAACTTGAAGCCTTGAATGTATTCCTGGCCATGTACTCTATTAAGATAAGCCACAAACACACAAAGCCAGTTCCTACCTGGTAGCAGATAGCACAGATGTCGTTGTACTGTTCCAGCTGTGTGTTGCTGGCCGTGGGGAGGCTTTTGATCTTGTTCACAGCATCTCTCCTGAGAAGGAAGCTCTGCCAGCCCAGCTGGGCTCTGAGCCACACGTTATAATACGAGTGGACCAGGATGATGGTGCTGCCCATCACACTCCACTCCCCGAACACCGTCTCTGACACGCCGTAGCACACCACACACACCGCGACCTGGCAGGGGAGGTAAACATACGTCAATGCCATCGAAGCAATATTGTGCGTCAACAATAAAACGGCCTTTGTCACATGCTGCTTTCTCATTTGTGCTCCCTCGTGTTACTCTGTATCGTGTGTTCATGCGTGTCCACTCACCAGGAACTCCAGCAAGCGGTACGTCCCGTTGACGCAGTAGATGACTTCATCCATGTTCTCGACTGGAGCCTTTTGAAACTCCTCCACCATGAAGAGAATGTAGATCAGCAGAGTGCCGAGTACCTGAGGGGGACGTAAGAGAGCGTCTTCAATAATCCATCACAGATGCTTCATCATAAACAGGTAAAAGTGGGTAAAACAGGTGAACTTTAGAGACAGGACTTATATTATGTTCCGTCTACAAATTGAGACAAATCAACTACATCTATAGCAATGTGATGTTCTAACAGTGTGTTTGTGTGTGTGTCTGCTTGTGTGTTACCTGCAGTGACGTGAGGATGGAGGAGGAGATGATGATGAGTAGCCAGAAGTCCATGTGGAAGAACTGACAGATCATATAGGCCATGTAGGCCGGAAAGATCAGCAGGAAGAGACACAGAGACACCGCTCTGAAGTGTTTCCACAAACTCCTAAAGGACAGACGGAGGTGGGAGATTGAGGATTATCAATCGGTAAAGAAAAATAATGAAAAATAAAAGAGATGCAAGCTGAATGTATTTACTTGTCTCTCGATGCTCCCAGGGCCAGGACTATGGGGTCAGCTATCTCCAGCATGGACTGCAGGATAGAAGCAACAACGATGAAGAGGATGATGGAGAGGAGGAAGGCTCGGTGGATGACTTGAAGCTCGATGAGGCCCGTCTGGACAGCGAGGATCAGCAGGGTGATGCCTTCTGTCATCCCTCTGCACAGACAGACAGTAAAACAACCATGTAAAGGGCTTGAGAGTAAAGCAACATACCAATAGACACCCTCAACGAACCAACACATGCTGACGTATGCACAAACTGACCTGTGCATGGTGTTGTCATTCATAAAGGCTCTGTAGCCTTGCAGGTAGAACTTGCAGAGTGTGAGAACTCCCAGAGCGATGAAGGAGACGGTGAAAACCAGACCCAGAAGGGAGTACGGTGTACTACAACACTCTGCAATACTGAGGACATGGAGGGAGGGGGGTGAGAAGGAGGAGAGTCAAGACAAGGTAAACAAACACTCATTCTATATTCCAAGTAGCTCCATCATAACCTGCTAACATACGAAACATATCTGTGGTATTCAATCATTAAGGCCCCACACAGTCTGACCAGCGCTTACGGTCCTACCTGGTGAGAAAGAGAAAAAGGAGCCTCTCCCTCGAGGTAGGCTGGTCTCTGGTGCTGAAGTAGGAGTAGATCTGCAAAGCGAACAGCAGTAGCCAGAAACACATGAAGAGTACCGGAAGGACCAGCTGGTTCCAGAGAGACATACCCAATGCAAGCAGCCCGTACATTTCCACCACCTGGGGGACAGAGGGTAGAAATAGGAATAACAGAATAACATTAATATTACATGCGAGGGAAATCTCTCAGTCATCAGAAAAAAAAACATTGGCCACAAAGCTAATTTATTACCTGGGCCAGCTCCCTGTAGGCCGTCTTGGCCAGGTTGTACGGTACCAACAAGTTAGAAGCCAGGAAGTAAATAACCTCCAGGCCAGTGAAGATCATGGAGAACTTATTGATGAAAACAATGGTCTCCAGAGGGACCAGACACAGTCTGGCCACCAGAGGGAGGAGGTGAGCAGAGAACAGCCAAATCCTCTTGGTCTGCATCACACAGGAACATAGCGTACACACCACCAGCTGAGCTGAAAGAAGATCAGAGAACATAAACCGGAAGGAAGACGCACGTACACACAAACACACAAACCACTCTCTCTGTCTTCCTCTCCTGCTTGCATCTCTTTGTCCCTGTAACTGTTATTTTTGCTTTCTCAGGCTTTCACTGTGCGGTAACATCAGCACTCAGTGTGATCTATTTATAGCACAGGAGACTCCATATCTACTCTCCAGTAAGATGAAACCAGGTCCTGTGGACCAACTCGTAACGTTATCTATTTCAACATGGCTGAGCCTTCGCAGTACAAGGGGATCAGTAAGATTTATGTCGAGAGCGACGAGGTGATGTGACCTTAAAGAGATGCTTTTTAATATCTAGAAAAACTACTGCTGACCTTTTTCTTCCTTACAGAGGATGAGTTTTCTGTAACGGAGACTTGGGTTTAAATTTAGTTGCTCAGTATATTGCAGTACTAGAAGTGACAGGAGATCTACGTCATTCTTTCCATACTTTGAGACTTTCCAGATGCATGGGCGACCACGACGGAGAAGGGAAAAGAAACATCAATTTGGAATATTGGAACAGTATCCTGTGAGCTCGGAAAGGACCTGCTGAATTACAGCCGCCTGCCTATGTTTGGGTTTGTGCACGACGCGGCCGTGCCACGTCATGTATACTGCACAAGTGTGTCTTATTATACCAATGAGTGCAGTGGTGAATCTGTTAATGGAAAGAGGTTCCAGGTAGACAGGTCCTTCGTAGCCGGAATCCAGCTCACTGCGGACATAATCCCTGAGAAAGAGAGGTCAAAATGTTCAATGTACAGGGAAACCGATTGTGACTGATTCTATACCACTGACCTATAGCTCAACACAAGAGATGTCTAGCATTTCATCTCAACCAGCACAAGGACAACTCACAGTAGCTGGTGATATATACTGAGAGCAAATGCCTTGAAAAGGATATCATACATTATAGCTTACAGTGAATGCTCACTAAAGCTTACAGTGCCCTCGTCAATCCAACAATGAAAACAAGGTCTTATAACTGACAGTGTGGCATAATACATAACCACGTATACTGGTCTACTGGTTGACGTAAGAGTGTGTGTGTACCTTGAGACTTGGTGACCAGCAAACAGCAGCAGGGCCGTGAGGACATACAGGTAGAGTTTAACCAGGTGCTGACGAGGCAGAGTCAGGAGTACCAGGCTGAGGATGTAACCTGACATAGACAAACAAAAACACACAAAAAAAAAAATCAACAAAATCAGCATGAAGTAAAAAAGTGACGATACACGAATTACCAAAGAATCTCTATTGCTCCCCGTTCGCGTTTTCACACGAAAGTGATACACTTAATGCGTATGTATGTCATCGCACCAGTCTACTTCCTAAAACCGTGCCCAAAAAAACTCCTCAGTGCATAGCAACAGTTCCTTTGGTTTTACTGCCTCTCTCCCTCCCTTTTTTTTTTTTTTTTTGTCTATCCACCCACAGCGCCCATCAGCACATACCAAGCCTATTGGCTCATTAACCAACTGCAGCAAAGTCCACACACACACACACACACACACACACACACACACACACACGTCGGTTTTCTTTTAGCTCGGTCAAATCGCAGTCTGACTTTGCTGAGTCACCGTCACATCACTGTGACTGTCCATCAGCGCTGCTGTGTCACTGGAAACACACCTGACTCTGAGACCTTGTTTACATCTTCACGATTGGCTCTGTGGCAATCTGGTTCAAGGCTCTTTCTCCATGTAGTGTGTTCTGGGATGATAGTCAGTCTGAAAAAGATGCTGTTGCTCTTTTGGAAATGAACAACATCTGTTAAAAAGGGGGCTACACTTGTAAACCGTGTCGCTACACGACATTTAACTTCGGTGGAAATGACTTGTCACAAAACAAGCAACCGTCCAGCAAAAGAGTTCTATCCGGGGACACGGCGAGGAAGGTTGGTTTGCCAGCTTGTCTGTCTGACTGTCAGCAGAATACGTCAATCAGTTATGGACTTCTGTAGAAGTTGGTGGATGAATCCACTTTGACACAAGGGAGAATTGTGGTGAACCAAAAATGGGATTTCCACGATCGACACTATCAGACGCTGTTACTAGGAATCAGGGGGGAATGGTCTTAACTCCAACTTGCATTTTTATCTTTTTGTGAAGCTTTTCACTGGCAGGTGAAAATAAACAGAAGCGCATGGGGAATTGGTCAACAGAACATTGAGAAAAATTGGACAACAGTTCAGTGTTGATGAAGGTTGGCACTCTCAAAAAGCCTTTTTTTTTGTTATCTTTCTGTTTTCTTGCACCAACTAAATCCTTTCCTTCTGTTTGACAGCGCTACCGACACACTTAACACTGTTTTCACACCAACTCTGATTGATAATGCCACTGCTGGGGCAAGAACCGCACAGCTGGAAGAGAAAAAAACTTGTTTTCAGGAGACATCCATCTTTTTTTAATTAATTCTACCGAAGGATAAATCAGATTTGAGTTTTGGTCACACTCCACATGTCGTCGTGCCAAACAATCCCTCCTGACTGTTCTGAAATCAGTACCAAGCAGAGCCACATGGCTTACTGCCTACCACCATGTCTGTGCATTCTGAAATGAGTTGGTACAAAGGCCTGACTTTGTTAAATGGAGAGAAAAAAACAAAAGAAACCATGCAAACCCAACCAAGAGAGGTAACATAGTGACTGCTGGCTCTGACCAACTGATAAAGCCAGTGGAAAAGGAGCTACTTAAGCCGATTGTCAAATAGCACACACACACACACACAACACCTAATAAAGGTCACGATAACATTGACAGGCCAACGGCCACAGCTGTTGACACACGTTACATCATCAAATATGTAAAATGAGCAAAGTATTTGTGTAATGTGTTGGTTTTACACTAATCCTCTTAGAAGTGTTTATACAGGGGGAAAAGTATTTGTACTGGGACAGACTGTGTGTGTGTGTGTGTGTGTGAGACAGACAGACAGACAGACAGACAGACAGACAGAGAGAGAGAGAGAGAGAGAGAGGGAGGCACCAACACTGACCTACGTAGTGCAGGTAGAGTGCCAGGTATTTGTACTGGAACAGGGGGTTGTTGGATAGGCTGGACCGCTGGATCTTCTGGAAGAAGGAGCTGACGTCCCAGCGGTACAGGACGTCCAGCAGCATGATGCTGGGAACACGCAGGCCCACATTGAGCACCGCCTCTACACGGTCCTTCACTGCCATGGCCTCAGCTTAACCTCGGATCGGCAGGCAGAACTGACCACTAAGACAGCGGACGCACTGCGGAGAAGAGGGACAACGCACAAACAGATGTTAAACAGGATGCACGGGAGATAGGAAGCAGTGACATAGGAGGAGAGGAAAGAAGATGAAAGGAGGAGGACTGGGCTGGGGACGAGAGCTCACAGGGAGGTGGAGAGAGAGAGAGACAGATCAAGATAAAAACCTAAAGAAAACAGCCTTTCATCCACAGGCAACAGTGAAGTGCATGTAAAACATACCAACTGCTGACTATTCTATGACCCAAGAGTGGCAGTAAAGATAAACTGAACTACCCAGCAAATGTTTTCCTGCATCTGGTAGTTTGAAATGTATGCATAACATTTAAATAAGCCTTTTGATATTTTTGGGATATCTACTAGTTGCAGAATCACTGAAAAACAACATTATAACTTATACAAATGAAAACTAATTTGGCAGACACAAATCGTATTCATCCACCACGTGATCAGTCACATCATCAATCGGGGAAGTCAACGATACCAAACACCACTACTGACATTACATTCACTAATCAATCCACATTGAAGCTCATGCGGAGGTAAACAGGCCTTTCTGTTTGCTTTCACACACGAACCAACTGCACTAAACTTCACTGAACTAGCAACAGTGGAATAAACTCTTTCAGGTGCTACTCCATGTCAGGCTTGATGAATTAGGCACACTCACAAAATCTGCTTATTCATATAAAGTATGTTTCCTCATGTTTTCACACACTGTTCTGTTTATATCTGCAGCATACATTTAATAGTATATTTATTTTCTTTTTTTACAAAACTGTCCAGTAGAAGGCAACGTTGGTTACAGTATGTGTGATTTTATTTCACAATATGAATATAGCCTGTACATTTTAGAAAATTTAAGTGAGAAAACATTAATTTACAAAACAACACAAAAAAAATCGGTACTTCATCATATTGATCCAGATATCCAATATTGCCATAAAATTGTCGGGCTCATTGATTTGCAACATTACCCTCGCGCAAAGGCCAAATATAAATTTAGAGATATTTATGGGGTACCTACCTCTTTGTGGAAAAATCTCTAATGGTTAACATTAGAGGGATAAAGGGGATTATTTTTACTTCTATGTCAGTCCTTGCATTTGACATTTGTTCATCTTTCTGTTTCTACCATCTATCACCAAACTGCAACACTGTGCATGTCCTCAAAGAGCAAATATTAAATTTGCGTATAATCATCAGCTTACATTGAAGCGACTATACAGTTTATGACATGTTCCATATTTGTCAATGAAAATTTAGGAATGCCATTGTGAACTTATACCGTACTTACTTCCCACTTTTGTAATCTACTTATAGTGTTGGAGTCAACATTAACTTAACTGCACAACAGTTTAGATGTTGTGTTGCTAGGTTATTTTCATTCCCCTCTACTTAAGTATGTACAATTATATACTTCGCCTTAAGTAGGGGTTGGTGTTTTTCTAAATCGTGGTATTAGTAATTTTACTGAAGTAAAAGATCTTCTACCACCACATGTATTAATCAATGACACTGGCTCAGTATGCGTCTCCCCGTCTGCACTTTCATCATCATTGTGAGTGAGTTGGAACTTCTCATTGTCTCTCCCTCCCACCAGCCTCCTCCGCTCTACCCTCATTTGGCTTTTTAAAATAAGCAGCAACAGACCGTTTCATTTTTGGAGTGCGGTAACATCTAAAAGGATTGTTTTCGTAAAACTTTCCGCGGCTATGTACATGCATCGTGCACCATTACGTGAATGAACAGGCGTAACATTTACAGTACAGGCAGCGCGGTTACACAATGGCCCGTGGCGTGGTGGGGCCTGAGAGAGAGCGGGCCCTCGGACAGGAAAAGGGCTCTTAAGGTCAGATCGCCACCTAGGAAACAAGCCCGTGCTCAAAAAAGGAACTCATGTTAAATTTACAAAAAGGTGTTATTTGCTGCATGTGCCCACGAAAAGGCAAAACCATCTCCATCATGGTTCTAAATAGTCAGTAGGATAACAAAACCACATGCTTATTCTAATATTAAATATATATATATATATATGATAAATTAAATGAATAATTTATATAATTGTCCATTGTCAAGTCTCTATTTGATCATGTGACGGGATGTTGCTGTGTGCGTGTGTGTGTGTGTCATAACTGGTATAACTAGCGTGCATTCAGGCCTATCATAATAGTGTGGACTGGGGCCCATCGTAACTACTTTAAGCCACTGGTGGCACTTACAAGACAAAGTTTCCAATCCCGTTACGATGCCTGGGACTGGAGTTTCCAAAGATTAATATTCCTGCATCCCGGGACCCTGATAACTTACATAACTCTAAATAACCACGACTATTACCGGCCAGAGCGAGAGATCACTTCGCAGAAACCACAGCTTATATAACGCGGACGTCTAGCACTGTATTATTATATGTCGTAATCCACTAGCCGCTGCGGGGCATGGTGTGGTTGAGTTTAGTCTCAATAGGTGTATTGATGTTAATTGTTAACTGAAACATCTGCACTACAGAAGGTTGTGGATGAGTGAGTGCGGCATCGATCGTGGTATGAACTCTAGTAACCCCTCCGTCTCGACGGAAGAAAGACAATCTCTTCGCTCCGCCGCAGAAGGACTGCAACACTTTGCTAACTAGTCTTGGTTTGTACGTTGCAGTAATACATCATGGGGCTGACAAAGCTAATGAACGGCTTCGGTGCGATGTGTCAAAGTGGTAAAATAGCTTATGACAGTATAACGAGCAGAGATGATGAGCTGCATCGAGCAGGCAGCAGGCACAGAGCCAACAATTCATGCTAACGTAGTCAGCTAGCATCAGTTAGCGACTGTCAACAACCGAGCTTACTCCAACACAACGGAGAATAAAATCACATCCGACGCCTTAGTTAGCTTCTAGCGCTGTCGCTTTAGACACCGCGGTCACATACAAGCAGACAGCGTCATCTTAACCCGGTTGAAGATTAACGTAAGTAACTGTAACGTTAGCTTAGCTTAGCAGGAGGACTGGTAACGTTAGTTCCCGAGCTAGCTATGGCGTCCTGCCAAAGGCTAATAAGAAGAAAAGAAAGAGAACTTACATTTGAAGGAGATGTTCGCAATATGTACAACGTTTTTTGGAGTGCTTTTTCGGGTCGGATATCGACCATTTTAACTCGGCACCGCCCGAGTTAACGGTCCTCTCGATAGAAGCGCCTCACGCTCAAAGGATGCGGCCGATCCGCTCATCTCACCTCGCAGCCATTACCCCCAAAGTACCCGAGGAGGATTACTACGCATGCGCAATGTCGTTCGTCCCATTACATCTCTTGGCCTCGTGCTTGATATATAACACTGGAAAATAAAGCTAGTTCGGCTCCTACGGAATGCACTTTGACCTTTATGAGGCATTATTTTCCTTACTAGGCCTGGATATTTATCAAGTAAACGCTTATTTGATTTGTGAATGTGACCAGATGGTGGGTGGAGGTCAATCCCTATAGGTTATAGTGATAGTTATGTTCAAGGCAAGAGACATGATGATATTGTCACTGTTTTGGTGATATTGTTAAAGTGTTTATTTACTGTATACAATGTAAGTGTTAAATCTGTGAATTATAGTGTATATTTTAATATGGGCCCTAAGAAGAGGCGTAATACTAACTAATGGGAATCCAAATCAACACTCAAGGGATTAAAACATGACCCTAAAAGTAGGGTTTAAGGTGATATGCTCTGCTGTCACGTTAAAGCATAGTAATGAGACTCTATGTCAGGCAATTTAACTGGAATATACTGTAATATATGACCCTATTTCATTCACTGCACTAGAGGTGGTGTCCTTTTACCAGGATAATGTATGATACCTGTATCACTGCTACTTTTGCCCGGATTTGTAATTTAGGGGTGTTTGTCAAATGGATAATAATGTGTGCAAAATCAGTTTTTCATAAAAGTTCTTTAGTAATTATCTCATCTGATTTGACATTAAGCTACATAGTCCATATATATATATAAGTATGTATGTATATGTACATATGCAGGAAGTGTAAACACACAAACACATTTGTGATCAATCAGAGAAATGGTCTGAAACAATGAATATGCCGCACTTAATGTTGATTAAGTGGTATAAAGCGTTATTCTCTTCTCTTTACTAGAAGTCGGTGGAAACTATTATCAAACAGTTTTATGTTAATCTATTATAATATGGTCACTATGGTAACAAAGGGTTCTTTTATTTTTTTCCCTACGTCACTACCGGCGGCAGGATTCGGGACGCAAGGAAGAACAGAGTGTGCGCCGCTCGATGAATGAAACTGAACGGCAAACTTCACTGATTCATTCAACTTTCAGAGGGAATCTGACAGCGTTGGTCCAGCGTTACATGACAGCTTGCTCTACCAGGTGAGGACACCCAAACCGTGCAACTAGCCTTGTCAGCTAATGCTAGCTTGTTGTCTCGTTGCCTCGCGCGTTGCTAGTCTAGTGTTAGCCATCTCATGCTAAAAATATCAACATCATAGACCGTCAAAGGGACTGCTCCGATTAGGTGGCATTTTTGCCGATGTGTCTTGAATAAGCCAGCCAGAGCAACAGACGCTTAACTAAAGTCATGCAATGTTTTGCTCTCTGTGTTTGATCATTAGCTACTTTCTATGTTTTGCTCAAGCTACAGCCAAGTTGACACCTCTCCTGTTACTTTACCTATTCCCCCTCTCTCTCTCTCTCTCTCTCTCTCTCTCTCTCTCTCTCTCTCTCTCTTTGCAAGGTGGACGTGTGCATGTTTGTTGCTGTAGCTGGAAATATTTTTGCTTCGGTGTGTGCACTCGTCTGTGCGCGTGCATACCTAACTCCAGCTGCAGCCGAGTGTGTTTGTTTGTTTGTGTGAGTGTGTGTGTGTGTGTGTGTGTGTGTGTGTGTGTGAGTGAGTGTGTGTGTGAGAGAAGAGCCCGTGTGTGCCATGTCTGTATCAGTGATCATAAAGTGGGGAGGGCAGGAGTACTCCATCAGTTCTCTGTCTGAGGAGGACACAGTGATGGACCTGAAACAGTCCATTAAGACCTTGACTGGGGTGCTGCCAGAGAGACAGAAACTACTGGGACTCAAGATCAAAGGTGAGACGGCATCCGTGGTCACAACCTGGTGGAGCTAGCGTAAATAATAACATATGATATCCAAAACAGGTGGACAAGATATCGGGACATTATCTCCCTTTGTGCATTTGCATTATTGTTAACTATATCTAAGTAACTTCTCTCTTGAGTGAGGCAAGCTTCTGTAGCTAAATGAATCTCACTCTCTTCTCCTTCTGTTCTTTCTCCAGGTAAACCTGCAGAGGATGAGGTGAAGCTGGGCTCCCTGAAGCTGAAGCCCAACACTAAGATCATGATGATGGGTACCAGAGAGGAGAGCCTGGTAGGTGGTGGGGAACTTCAAAGATATCTGCTTGGGACTAAGGACTAGTTGCCCAGTCAACTGGCAATGTGCCCGAGTGACCGGCTAATTTGTAGTTTAATGAAACATGATAGTTATTGAAAGAGTTACAGTATGATCATGCTTTCTTACTTGTTATTTAAGACTTACGGTCACTAACTAGCTTTAATCATGTGTTCAGTAAGTGGTTTGTTAGGTGATGATCCTGCTACTTGTTGATGATGGTGTTATCTAAAGTCTTATGTACTGTGTTGTGTTAAAGGTTCCCCTTTGCTGATTGGTAACTGTTTTGTTTTGTGCAGGAAGAGGTTTTAGCCCCTCCCCCAGAGAACGATGATGTGGTCAATGATTTTGACATTGAGGAGGAGGTCATTAATGTGGAGAACAGGTTAGTTATTGTAACGGTGTGTGTGTGTGTGTTTGTGTGGCTGCACAGGAGCGAGATGACATTTGTGAGAGGAAATGTATCCGTGTGTGTCTGAGAGACAGATGTTGTTCTATGTTGTTCTTCTAGAGAGGAGAATCTGGCAAAGATCGCCCGCAGAGTGAAAGACTACAGGGTGGAGGAGATGAACCCTCCCAGAGAAGGCAAAAGGCTTCTGGTACTAGATGTGGACTACACGCTGTTCGGTGAGTTACAGTGACGCCGGCATTTGTCTCGATCAGAATGTGACTGGGAAACCTTGACTTAAATCATAGCATGCTAATAGCAAACACTGTGCGTTTACTCTAACTGCACATTACACAACATTTACTTTGATACTGCGTCTCCACTGTTTCTTCTCCTCGTGTGTGTGTACGCACGCATATGTTATATGTGAGGTTCATAGGGTTGAGTCTTTTATGAACACATTTAAAATGTTGACAGCCTATCAGTTGCATTGATGTCTGCAACCTATGTGTGTTTAGATCACAAGTCGTGTGCGGAAACGGGTCAGGAGCTGATGAGACCTTACCTTCACGAGTTTCTGACATCAGCCTACGAGGACTATGACATTGTCATCTGGTGTACGTATCTCCTTGTCTGTTCTTGTGAAGGTCTGAATTTGAACTGAATGCCATGCATCACTCTCGATGAGTAGGAGGATGTAATTGTTGAAAATGCAACATTGACTGTACAACTCAACTTGTCTTAACTATAGGCCACTGGACACCCTCAGTAGGACAGTTTTGTTGTTGTTGTTTTTATCTATTAAGTTTCTATCTTATGGCCATTTAGTTGTTTATTTCCTCTCTGTGCTGCTACCCAGCAATCAGCGCTTGTGGAATACACATCTTACACATGTGCTTTCTCTCCTCAGCTGCTACAAGTATGAAGTGGATTGATGCCAAAATGAAAGTAAGTATTCCACTTGTTGTGTTCTTTGTGTCGTTGCTCAAGCTCCACTCCTGCTAACATTACTGTACTTTACCCTTTTTTGCCAAAAGATGGCAGTGTTAATCAATTTAAAACACAGATCGGAGCAGAAAACAACACTACTGCTTGTGTGTCTGTGTGTGTGTTTGTGTGTAGGAGCTGGGGGTGACAGACAACCCGAACTACAAGATTACCTTCATGTTGGACAGTGCAGCAATGATTACGGTACATACCCCGAAGAGGGGGGTTGTGGAGGTTAGTACACACACACACAGCGGATCATAAATGAAGATATTGCCTTGTTTTACTGCTGCTGTTATTACTTTCACAGCAGAAGAAAGCATCTATATTTACATGTAGTTGTGTGGTGCAGTTTCCTTCCCTTTTGTTTGACTTCTGATTGTAGATTGTGCCTTTTATTTGCACTTTATCCTCATACCAGGTGAAGCCCCTGGGAGTGATATGGGGGAAGTACGAAGAATTTTACAACAGGAGGAACACCATTATGTTTGACGACATCGGACGAAACTTCCTCATGAACCCACAGAACGGACTGAAGGTAGGCGGGCCCGCATTATCGTCATTGCTTTCGACCTTCACTTCTTCCTCATCATTGTCAACGTTAAGCACAGGTTTTCCTGAATCCTATTGTGTGTGTGTGTGTGTGTGTGTGTGTGTGTGTGTGTGTGTGTGTGTGTGTGTGTGTGTGTGTTAGATCCGACCCTTCATGAAGGCCCATCTTAACAGAGAGAAGGACAGGGAACTCTATAAACTGGCTCAGTACCTCAAAGAAATAGCCAAGCTCGAGGACTTCAGCGGACTCAACCACAAGCACTGGGAGAGGTAGGCACACGTATGCTAAGCAGTAATGATGTGTAGTTTAGTACTGACACACCGCATGCTTGTAGCACCTAAAAATATGAAGTCTGTTCATCAGTATTGTGTGTACTGAATGTGTCTGTGTGTGTGTGTGTTTAGGTACCTATCTAAGAGGCAGCATCACTGAGGAGGGACTGCATCCTCGGCAAAGGCTGGACACTACTATCCCATCATCCAGTTCTCTCTCTCACACACACAAACGTGGCTATTACAAGCCCTTTATTACAAACCTTAATACAAATCCGACAATAAACCTGCAGACGCCAACTCTCAAAGGCTCAGGACTGAGATGGGCTTCCCAATTTATATCTGTGCATGTTGTCTCTCACACACTTTTTATGTTGCATTCATTACAATAGTAACAGCAGTCACCACCCGTCTGTGTGGTGATCATTAGGGATGCATCGATATCGGATATCGGGCTGATACTGACTCAAATAGTTGGATCGGGCCAATCTATTAGGTTGTGCTCATTTACTCTATATATTACATCCTGGTTATTCCTGTTTAAGTTTTGACCAATTTGTTGCTGCATTTAAACGGTTTACACTTGAATTGTAGTTCCTGTTACTTTTGAGGATTGTTTTTATTTTTACCAAGTTGTAGGTGTATGATTTATTATTTTATTAATAAATAACAATTCTGTCAATGTACATCTATGTATTCATCTGTTATTTTGTTTTACAAAGTTAGGAAAGCAATGTTTGAGTCGAGCCTAATGTTGCCTTACACATAAAAGGATGAGCCCGGTTTCTTCCATAGGGCGGGGCACAGAGTTTATTCTTTAAAGACTGGTCTCTGATCAGTACTCGGTATCAGTCGATATCCATAGCCCAGGTATTGGGACTGAAAAAGTCGGATCGTTGCATCCCTAGTAATCACAATCTACCCCAAGGTTTGAGGCCACGAGCCACAATGACCCACAAACTCCTACGAACCTCAGTCAGGATATATTTGAGATCTCTTAAGCCTGCTTGGTTAAGCCTGCTTTGGGGGGGGGGGGGGGGGGGGAAGTTGCAATCTTTTACTAAAATGTCGGCATACTTTGCTCTGACTATCGAGCCCCTCTGCTCTACCATGCAAGTATTAAACGAATACAAATATTTCATCATGGTTTTAAGGTCAATACGTTTCCCCCACCCCTGTACGAAGTTGAGATGTTGCCTATTATTATATATTCCGAAGAGATTGAGATTCACCATCAAAAAGCCAATATTCTTCATTTGAAATGATTGAAAATCATTGAATGTGAAATTCAACAGAGAAGAATAAGTTTAACTAATTTAACATATAAGAGGTTTACAGGAGTACTTCTTACAAGTACATTTTGTGCAACGAGTATTGAAAATTTAAAGTGGAAAATTGGAAATGCAGATAATATTGAGAGCGCTTGCCCAAGATAATCCTATAAAGTCCGTGAGCATCAAACCGATGCCTGCAACCTTCACAGTTGGACATGTAAAAATATGCAATAATCCTCAAAGCTACTGGGACGTTAACAGCCGAGTTGAGATCGAGACTGGTTTTGTAGCAAAAATGCTTTCACATCACGCAAAACGTGCATTATCTGCTTTGTTATCTTTCTGGTAGCCGCTTCATCAATGAATGTTTTCCTCATCACATCCCTGACGTCCTGGCTGTAAATATGACAATAAACCTTTTTTTGTACCTAACTTAACTCGTGTTCGTTAGCGTTCTTGAAGTCATTTTGAAAGGAGTAGTAACATATTTTTCAAGAATTACCACTGTATATAAAATACATCTGAGGTGTTATACAACAAAATGCCAGAAGTGCAGTATATTAATATGTTTATCAATTTATTATGACATTTTAATAACCCTTTTAGCAACAATTCTGCAAGCATAGTTGTAAATAACGTCACAGAGGGCACACAGGAAGGACTTTCAATCATATCACAAATTATCAAAGTTCCATCGAGATCAATAAATACTGTACAGATATGCATTCAGTCTGAAAGCACCCGTTTTTGTGCATTGCAATAAAAGTTAGAAAAATGATTTCTTGGCAAACTTGAGCTCTTCCATCCTTTATAGCTTCGGTCCAGTGATGCAGCCCACGGTGTCTTTATTTACTCTGGAGACAGGACAGGTTGGAATGAAACAGTGTGGATCAGATCTATGTTGGTGGCATGACTTGATATTATTTGGATAAATCATATGCTCTCATCGAATTAGGTATTTGGTGACAAACCCCACAGTTCTAAATGGTCCAAGTTATATACTTACGTGCAGAAGCTCCAGTGGCTAAATGGCCCGTTGGTGTATTTGTCCTGAGCTCGCACACAGAAAACATACTTTTGGGTTTTCATGTTGACCTCATACTTATTTTCCTGAATGGTGTTAAGCTGCACAAGAGAAGAGACCACACATTAAAGACAAAGAAGTGTGGTTCAACTGGAAGTCAGCAAATGTCTTTTTACAGTAAGTGTAACTTGAATCGGATCTACTGTAATTCATTGCACATATTGATTACCATTATGTGGCGTTCACTGTCACAGGATGATCCTTTGTGGACCACCTTCACCTGGAACTGCAGGCCAAAGTAGGTGGAGGGCTTCTCCCAGGAGTCAGGGTAGCTCCAGCTGAACACCTTCCCATTACTGATGCACAGGTTAGGGAGTGCTTCCGGCCTCACTAGATATGATGAAGGGGGGAGGAATGAGGTGGAGGAAGGGGGAAAAGGGGAGCGTAAAAGTACAATGAGAAGGATGCAGCAGGATCGCAACTGAAGGCAAAGACAGAAGGCAATAAGGATGGATGGATGAAAATGAGGCCACACAATAGAATACAATCACTTACCAATCTCTCTCAGGTAGAAAGCCTTTGCGTAGGCCTCGAGGAGAGAAACGCTGCGTATGTAGATGGTGAGGGAGATGCGGTGCTGATCTTCTTTGTATGGGCAGCTGGCGTCCTGGCAGTGAATCCCTGATCCATCAGCATCCAGCTCACAGGAAATATTTTCCATATTACTAGATTGAAGACAAAGTGGTTGGTACAATACTCCAATCTCGAAACAGGATGCAGGATACAGGATCCACTCCTGATATTAATGAGTATTTGCATTTTGTCCTCACCGTTCTGCCTTCACCAGGAGCACAGAGGTGTCGGGTCTCAACCTCGTTCTCCTCCAGGTGCAGTGGAAGGAGCCTTTATAGTTAGGTGTTGAACAGTGAATGTGACCTGAAGGAAGGAAGAGAAACACTGTTAGCACTCTGAGGCTTTCTCTTTGTGACGAATGCTCTTGTGAACAATTTATCTCTATATGTTTGTGTTTCAGAGCACTTTATTTTGAAGGTCCCTAGCATTTAAACATCAATAAATCATTGCATATGGCACAAAGCTGCCAGTACAAACAGTTCTGAAGCTTCGTAGAGCTTTTCACAACTTTTGGTTTATATATATTTTTATATAATTATATAAAAGTATAACCATGAATTGGACAAAGATGCTTTCTTTCTATTTTTAATGTTTTCTCCCCTTTAGGTAACTTATTTTGATCGTTGTGTTGACTCGTTCCTTTCTCGCTCTCTCTCTCTGTCCACTTGTGCCTTACCTTCCCATCATCACACTACCTCTGCTCCTCCTTTTATCTCATTTCTTCATGTGCCCGCCATTCATCTTATCTTTTAAATGTTGTCTGCTTTTGGGCAGCAGCCTCTGTCTATTTTTTTCCCCCATGTCTCCCACATTCTTTCTTAACTCAGCTCTAAAGTGACATCCATCTGATGTCTCCTCCAGGGAAATACCCCCATAGGTCCAATTACACAACACATCTTTATCTCTCTCTGTTTGTCTTTCCTCTCATTGTGTGCCTTCTTTGTTCTCCTCCTTCATGTCTCCCTCCATCTTTCCTATCTCACCCATTTCAGGGGATACTTCTTCCAGTATGACAGCCCTGTTGTCTGGGACTACTTGGATCAGGATCAAAGTGTGGTTGAGGTAATCTCCATTTGGACCGAGGTGACAACTGTAGTTTCCTCCGTTCATCTCCTCCACTAGGACCGTGACCTGGTTCCCCTGCAGAGCTGGTTCAGTCGCCTCGCCTGAGACAAGGTGAATGGGTCAACGTAACAATGATGGCTCAAAATATCATAAAGACACAGAAAAATCTGACTGAAGTATTTTAGTTTTTCAGATAATCTCATATTTTTCAGATTGATTAGCACTGTATCAAATCTGCACAGGTACTATTAGAAGTACCGGTGATAGTAGAAGCAGTATTACTTGTAGTAGTAACAGTTGTATTACCATCTTTCTTCCAGACCACAGGCTGGTTTTCATAAGCTTCTCCACAGCTCAGAGGAACATACACCATGGTGCTCTCCCCGTAAGGCACCCTCAGGACCAGAACTAGTTAAATCATAGACAAGAAAACACACATTCACACAGACTGACTTGAATCAGCATTTACTGCGAAGACACAAACGGAGAGGAAGATTCAGTAGAGAAAGGAGGAGCTACCAACCATTATCCATCAGGGTCTCTATGTTTTCTTGGTCGCTGATGGAGCTGGCGTAGCACAGTCCAGCATACAGGACCATTAGGAACAATGCACGCATCTGGAAAAAAGGACAATAAGGGCAGGTACATTAACGGAGGGAAGTTTATATGCTTAAACCTCGACCTGCTCAGCTTATTCTAATATCCTATAAGGTTTGTCACCCAAACAATACAAGGGTATTTTTAACAAGTAGCTATCCGAAAATAAAAGTAGTAGAAGGTACAACACTTTTCTCTGAAATGTAGCGGAGGAAAAGTAAAAGGAGAGTATTTTACAACAAAAGATTTTGCAACTTCTTCTGAAGTAAAGCATACAAGTACCTCTAAGGTGCCTTTAAGTAATTGTAGTACTTGAGTAAAAGTAGTTCTGACAATGCCATAAGGAAATCATCTAATTCAAGATTTGAAGAGTTTGCCAATTTCTTTCAATAACATTTTTACTTTAAAAGAGATATTTATTCAATATATTTGAATAAAGACCTACTTAATAAAATGCTGAAGAAAAAAAACAGATAATCTTTATAGATAACTTCAGATTAATATAGTAGATCTTACCTTGACAACTGGACTTGATCCAAAATGTTTACAACTGCAAGGTGACCTGATGAGGATGCCAGAGAGGTGAGGTTGCTATTCTCAGTATGTGTTCAGTTATCTGCATGAACTCAGCATGCTGCTGCTTGTATTTATGCAACAGAAGGTGAAAAAAAAAATCCCTAACAAGAAGAGGAACTGCCCCGTGAGTGCATGTGTGTGTGTGTGTGTGTGTGTTGACTTGAGATCGTGATGTTGTCCATCACTTGGAAACACCGGGACAAGTTGTATTAATTAAGAAGCAAAGGAACAGATCCCCATTATCGTATTTAAGTTTCCTCTTTTCTTCAGCCTGATTCACCCAGTCATGAGGAAGATGGCAAAAGCCCAATTCATGATATTCCATTGTGAAATTGCGTGTATGATAGTGCAGCCACACAAACCATTGTGGAGGAAGTTCGGGGAGGACAATAGAGACAGAAACCTCTGTGAAAGGGAACTGGAAAAAAATCAAGTTTGTTTGCTCATGACAGTGTGCGTTGGTGTATCACTAAAAGTCAACAGGTACCCTGGAAAATGGTCATAAAAGTAGGAACGAGAACAAGAAAGCAGAGCGTGATGAAACTTCCATTGAAGTGGAAAAGAGAATAGAACCACTGTGATGAAATACAATTGTTTCACATGTGAAGGGATCCCACGAGGGATCGCTGGATTTGCTTTGTGACGCAAACGTTCTTTGACCCATGTAGAAAATGAAATATCTCATCTGGGAAGTTACCTGCGTGCTATGATTTATGAGAGGAGTTTCCATCATTCATTGTGCTCCCATTGTAACCACTAACATTTCACTATGCCAGAGCAGGTATACTGTAGCTGTGATGATAGCCAGCAGACCATTTACTATAACTCTTTCTTAATTATAGTTATGGAGGTTCTTTTGATTCAACATCGCTCTGCTCAAAAGGTAATAGATGACTATCGCTCCTGGCTATAGTGTGCGCTGTGGTTTCTTTGTGGCTCAGAAAGAGCACCTAATTGAGCCCACACGCATGTCCCGAATTACAAGATTCATGAAAATGAAAACTTTTATAAAATGTATGATTATAATAACATTCGCGCACAAAGAAAATGACATTTTGAGACTGATACTCGAGCAGGTATGATGTATAAAGGTCTTTACGCCCAAAAAAGCCACAATTATGAGGACTTGACATGTAATGCCACACTGACCTTATGCTGCATTCACTTACCTTCTGCCAGTCACTCATGTACAGCATGACCTTTCACATTCAGTAGCAGGAAAGTAGGCCATTAACTCTCCTTCTTCCTCCACAAATAAAACTCAAATGCTTAGTTACACATGTTAACGCCATTCATTGGTTCATGCTACTGATGGCACAGAGCTTGTTAGCACACAGGTTAGTTCCTTCCACATTCCGTCACTGGCTGATTGACGTTTGCATATTTGTTCTCAGGCTGGGAATGCCAGTTGGCAGCACTTCATTCAAACACAAAGCTTACAATGGCTTCTTCTCTCTAGACGGCCTCTCTGCGTCATGGGGTTTTTCTTTCTTTTTTTTTCAAGGAATTTTCCATGTTCTGTCCGGCTGGAATGAGGCGATTTAAAGGAGCTATAGGTGGATCTCTTATCTTTGGACAGAGCCCGGCCAGCTGTTTGCCCCTGCTTCCAGTCTCAATGTCAAACCTAATGTGAACCTATTGCTTCAACACATGCTGCATCGACACTCTGGCCAACATACATGCCGATGCAGTTGCGGCTCTTTTTCCTGCACGTTAACACTTTGCAGCAAAGCTGCTTCCACCTACCTTTGATATAAATTTCCTTCCTTTAGAGCCAACTCTTATTCTTGGCCAGGCCAGTCAGGCCTCAGGTTTCTCCTGGTTGCCTTTTGAAAACAACACTCTCCCCATGAACCACCGGCTTTATTTTAACAGTTTTAACATTTTGGTTTGTGTACAAATTTGACCAAGATATAACGTGTTAATTAGTGAGCGATAGAGGTGCTGGTGGGACTTATCCTTACCGTTAGACAGAGCCAGCCTACCTGATTCAAATGTTTATGCTAAGCTAAGCTAAGCTAAGCTAAGCTAAGCTATCTGGCTGCTGGCCACTGATTCGTATTTATTAGACAGACATGAGAGTGGTGGCGATCTCTTCACCTTACTCTTAGCAAGAAAGCAAATAGTATAGTTTATTTATCACAATGACAAATGCAAGACAACGTAAATCGCTCTGCGATTGCTAAGATAGCGCTATAACGTTTGTTCCACCTCTATATCAAAATATGAACACATTCAAAGCAAATAATTAGACAAGAGACTGAGAAACAGTGATCAATTTGAATTAAAAACATTTTATTTTTAATCAAAATATGCAACTGTGTTTCTGATGTTTTATCCTTTTTGCCACACAAATAATTGTGGTTTTGATCATATACGAACATCCACGCACACATACGCTTATGCACACACACTCACACACACACACACACACACACAGGCTGACTGACTACTTAATGTTTATTACATGATTGTTCTGTGAAGCAGAGTGAAATAAAGCGTCTGATCCAGCGGCAGCTCGGTAACACATCGACATGCCCCCCCCGACACATCTGTTTACTAACTAGCAACCTTTCCTTACAGCACGGTATACTGGCTCAATCCCCAAATGACCTGTTTGAATAACTGTCATGATTGTTTTAGCGTCTTCTTCCTTCTGAACTTGTTGAATTGTATGGTAGTGAAAATGTATTTATATGTAAGTATAACCCTGTGGCCTCAGAAACAGAATTCTGCCGACCCAAGTTTTGCCAGAGAGCAGAACTTGAGCGGAAACTGAAACACAGAAACATTTGAACATCAGTGTTGCTCAGAAAACCCTTTTTATGCCATCTGACATAGTTCTATTTTTGTTGTTTGGTTTCCATGGGAACAGTTAAAAAGACTTCAAAAAGGTCAAAATATCAACGTGTAAAACCAAAAGGAAGAGTCTTTTTCTCAATTCAAGAGTCCGTTTTGCTCCGGCAGACAACCTCTGCCCGAACAAAGCCCATCTCAGCACAAACTAAGAGAAGAGATGAGAAGAGGAGAGACGAGGAGAGACGAGAAGAGAAGAGATGAGAAGAGATGAGAAGAGGAGAGATGAGAAGAGACGAGAAGAGGAGAGACGAGAAGAGACGAGACGAGGAGAGACGAGAAGAGAAGAGATGAGGAGAGACGAGAAGAGATGAGAAGAGACGAGAAGAGACGAGACAAGGAGAGACGAGGAGAGACGAGAAGAGAAGAGATGAGAAGAGAAGAGATGAGAAGAGACGAGAAGAGACGAGAAGAGATGAGGAGAGACGAGAAGAGAAGAGATGAGAAGAGACGAGATGAGAAGAGACGAGGAGAGATGAGATGAGGAGAGACGAGAAGAGAAGAGATGAGAAGAGATGAGGAGAGACGAGAAGAGGAGAGATGAGGAGAGACGAGAAGAGGAGAGATGAGATGAGAAGAGGAGAGATGAGAAGAGATGAGAAGAGGAGAGACGAGGAGAGATGAGACGAGGAGAGACGAGAAGAGAAGAGACGAGGAGAGACGAGAAGAGATGAGAAGAGATGAGACGAGGAGAGACGAGAAGAGAAGAGACGAGGAGAGACGAGACGAGAAGAGGAGAGAAGAAAAGAGACGAGGAGAAAAGAGACGAGGAGAAAAGAGACGAGGAGAGAAGAGAAGAGACGAGACAAGGAGAGATGAGAAGAGAAGAGATGAGGAGAGAAGAGACGAGAAGGGGAGAAGAGAAGAGAAGAAAAGAGATGAGGAGAGAAGAGAAGAGACGAGGAGAGAAGAGAAGAGAAGAGAAGAGAAGAGAAAAGAAAAGTGAGAATCAACTCTCATTCTTTATTTTCTCCCTTGTTATCCTCCTCCTCCTCCTCCCCCTCTCTCCGGGCTTCCAGGTTGGGGCCGAGTTAATTCTCGACGGGCGTCGGCTCTTGCGACAGCGCTGCCACTCCTTCCCCTGCCGCCGGTCCGGAGGCCTCTGGTGTGTGTCCTGTCGTCGACGCCGGCTCGGACGGTGTTGGCTGGCTGAGGATGACCTGCACTACGTAGTCCCTGGAGATGTTGAGTTGGTCCAAGCGCAGCCTGTCAGTCAGTGGCCGACCTGAGAAGAACCAGCGTTGGGTCGCGGCAGGCACGCCCTCCTGACTGTGTAGACGGCGCTTCATCATGCCCACCGTGTCCGTGGAGCGGACCGCCAGCCGGAGGTCGCGGCCGGTGGAGAGCCGGAGCCGGAGCCGGCACTCCCCTCCCGAGCCGGCGTCGCCGGCGCTGCCCGTGGACGGCTCGGCGGCGCCGGAGTCCGGATCCGAACCGTCGAGCTCATCGGAGCGCTCTTCGATCATGTTGACGGGAGGAGAGAGGCAGTAGACCGGCAGCTGGTATCGATTCCCCAGTTCATCGTAACATTCAGTCAGAGCTCCTGGAAGAACGGAACAATGTGTCACTTTACATAAATGTCAAAGGATTGTTTTTTTCCTTTTTAAACTGTTTATTTTTACAGTTGTGAGCATCATTCCTATCAGTTATGATAACATCATCTTCAGCTTCATTGAAAGTGTAGTGGGACACACAACATTTTAGACAAGTCCATTCTAACCCGTGAATATAACCTTTCAAAGGTTACTTCACGATTTGCTGAAATGATCTGCTGTACTTACCGCAGCTATTTTTAATGCATGGTGTGTGTTGCTATAGGAATTACATATACAACTTCGACATTAGAAACCATCATCGGCAGAAGGTTACAGCTTACTGTAACCCACATACCAATATGAATGGAACAGTTATATTTAGTACACTAGGTTCATGTTTTACTGGGAAGTTCCACTACGAAGCAATTAACAACTGAAGTGAACATTTCAGGTAAACCCTCAACTGTCCCTTGGTTATGATGAACGGTCTGGATAAGGAGCGCTTTCGGGTGCCTCGCTATGCATATTTGTGTTGTATCTAAATAGCTGTTTACTTTTGTATATTTTCACTGTTGCGTTCTTAATCTGAAAGTCAAACACTCACGTAACTTTGTTTCCATTCAACAAAGCCGGAGCCTGAACTCTTGTTAATTAGATGGAATGGAGAAATGACAGTCGGACTCAACAGAAAAACAAAGACTGAGGGAAGAGGAGTGAAAGAAGGACAAAAGGGATTTGGTGAGTACTTTAAAAGACATGATGTCACTTTTGACCTACTGTGATTCAGACACAGAGTATAGAGTTGGATGAGAAAAGGGGGGGGGAATAAAATAAGATGTAGTGAAGAGGTCACAGAATTCCACAAACAGAAACTTAAATCCCTTGAGGGGATTTCAGACAGGTCACCCTGCACAGTAGTGTGTCACTACGACGTTGCACACCTGAAAACATCAAGTAGTTTTATTGTGATCACGGGTGTTTTGATCGCAACGTTTGCTTGCCTTAGGTTTTTTTTTTTTTTTTTTTTACCTTTAAGAGTAATATATAAGTGTGAGTAAAATCCCAATTCATCCCAGATGTTTTCTCTTTTTAATGGTTTTGAAAAGATTGCAATATTGTTGCCCTTCAGACAGTTTTTAAAATTAGAACCAAATAATTAAAGACCAGGGTGACACAAAAAGCAAGAAGACTCTTCTGTAAATAACTTCTTGTACCTCTCTTGTATTGTTTAATGACTTAAACTGAGGCGCGAGCCACTCGAGAGAGAGAGAGACAGTGAGCTTTGTGGTAAGCGAGACTGAGATGAGTCAGCAGAAGCCCACAGGATGTTGCTTTCTGCTCGACACAGAGCGAATGTGAGAGGGAACGAGAGCTTCGCTTTGTTTCCAAAACTGAAATGTGCGGTAATGTGGAGAGAAAGTGTGCAGCGCCTTACAACAACAGCACTCACCGAAAAAACCCTTGGTGTGAAAAGAAATACAGAAGTTATTGTAAACCAAACAACCAGGAGGGGGGGGGATGGGGCACTTTCCATGTCTGTTTGACTTAATTTGAACATCTCGGTTTTATAATAAACTCTAAAGATCCAGTGGTGATTTAAATAATCGACAGACCGCCCAGGCCTGACAGTGTTTTCATCCAAGAGTTTGTTGGGTTACGATCCCATTTTACATTAAAGTATGACTCAGGCTACAAAGGAGCCCACACACTCGCAGTGTTAAACCCTTGATCTGGTTATTTACGGTGGTCTCTGCCCTGACAACTTTGAAACTAAGGATATCTGTGTGTCTGGTCACAAAGCAGTGTAAACTAAATGTGACCGTGTTTTTGCCATCAGGACCCCTCGGCTTTGGAACGAGCTGCCTGAGGAGGTAAGGCTCACAGAATCAGGAATCTCTTTTAAATCACTTAAAACACATTTTTTACAGACTGGCTTTTATGTGATGTCATCTTTTTACTGCTTTCTTTTATTATTGCTATTACAAAGAGGGCTCCTCTCATGTTTTATCTTCATCTCATCTAATCATTCATACATCATACACAGATTATTCACAGCGATGCGGCCATCTGGAATGAAGTCAAGTGGTGCGCGAGAGCGGTGTGAAAATGGTTGGAAAACGCTGCTGTGTTTGGATCACAACAACCGCTTGTACATCCTCAGTCTGGAGTCTTCTGGTTTCCCTTTTTGAATAATGAACACAGACTACCGCCACCTGCTGGTACGGAGAGTTATTTCCTCTCATGCGACATGCTAGTTCGCCGTTGTCTGCGGTCTTTACGGTGTGTTCAAGTGAAACTTTTTTTGGCCAAGACAAAGACAATGTGAGGCTGTCGGCCTTTGTTGCTGTGTCTGGGCCTTCAAATTCCTTTCATGTCACAGTGAGGTACCAGCTGACACGGCTAAATATGTGAAAGCTCTCATAGCTAATGTCAAAAAAAGGCTAATATCTATAAAACAAGACAGATGTTACACACGGGTCACTGACATTCTACAAACATGATGTGGATATGATTCTGTCGGTATATCTCACTTGCTTTTTCTTCTTCTGTGGTTTGGCTCCACATTAGTGTTCAGCTGCAGAATCCTAATTGGTTCCAGGTGGTGCTAATGCCTTTTGGCTTTTATATAGTGTTGGATTGAAAAACAACCCTGCAGGGGGGAAATCGGCCTTTGCACACCAAATTTAAGACGAGCAAGAAAACATCTGTTTACATTAAAGAGTCTTTGTTGCTGCAGGGCTCTTTCGCACGGCCACCCAAAAAGGAGCTTGACTGGTTATGGGTTATGGCTGAAACACGAAGCTTATAATGATGTGAATCAGTGAAGATGACGTTATTGTTTGATGAAAATCCAACATGTTGACCAACAGGCCGATGCAAATGGCTCCCATCTTCTGCTTCACAGAGTCGCGTTTGAACACCGCAGATCAAGTTGGTCTCCAATCCAATTAGAAGAAGGAGCCCATCAACTGATGCATCTCTAAAGAGTGAGCAGTGTCCATTATGAATAAAGTTCTAAAAAATAAATAAAATATCCAATTCCGTTTGCTGAACGGCAACAACAAAGTCTGCACTGTAATGTGTTAGTACAGTAATGGAAATTCAAGCGTTTTCAAAGAGTTTCTTCAGGATCATTGACTGATTCTGAAAAGCCTCATTTTTCTCTCGTCGGTACGTCGGTCTACCACGTTGGTCCAGACTATTGGATACAACTGTTGGACAGATTTATTGGCTAGATTGCCATGAAACTTTATTTACAGACATTCACAGTCCAAAGGTGATGAATCCTCGGCCTGTGAAGGTAACTACTTTTGCACGATGATATTTTGCCCCAAGAAATGACTGCGATAAACAAAATAATTTAAATTTTAAGAATATTTTACGCCTCTGATTTAATGATACTATAATAGCATAATTATGCAGGTAAACACTTTCAAAGTGCAATAAACCGAATGCTTCAATCTTTGGAATTGGAATGTGAAAAAATATTAAAATATTCGAAATAAATAAAAGACAATAAAACCACACAACCAAAACAATAAATAAAATGGGCTGGTTGGCGCTGGTAAACAAAATATGCAATGTCTGCGCAATGCCCGAGTCTGAAAACATTGGTGACATTCTTATGTAAACAAACACGTGTTTAAACACGACGGGCAATGTCGAGGTCAGCAAAAATGATCAACGCCATGTCTGTATTTCGCATGATCGATAGCGTAAATTACCGTGACAGGGCTAATGAATCCTGATGACTTTGGTGATCCCCTGACTTTCCATCTTGTGCCACCATGACACCACATTTGTGGTTTTGAGTGAAACGTCTCATATATTGGATGGACTGCCCCGAAATGATGTAACATTTCATAATTCATGTTCTCCTCAGGATGATTTGTAATCACTTTGGTGATACTCTGACTCGTCATACTAGCCCTTGTCATCGGGAGAATGTTAGCATGCCAACATTAGCTTTTAGCTCAAAGCACCACTGTGGCCAAGTAACCAGTTGAGCAGAATAAGAGCAATAGAAGAGGCTGCGAGTGAAACAAACATTGAAGTGAGCTGGCTGCTCGTTGGACTGGAGTGCTGGATTGGCGAAATGGTGACATCAGGCCTGGGGAATCCACAGCTGCAGCACATCGGGATCTGATCTGACCAAACTACTGAAGGGAAAGGAGCACTGACTGTGTTCACATGCATGGACAGCCTGTCTGTTTGGTAACTGCTACCCCCAAATCATTGTCAGGCAGAGGTGATGTGAGCGCTAGTGTAACTGTTGGCCAACTGTATTGATTCGTTCTATGTGAACGCTCTCCAGTAAGTTTTAGAGGAGACACTATCTTCATACGTACCCGAGTGATTATTTCATTACATCCTTCCAAGGACACGCCTCTCTTTTAGTGTATTATTTATCGATTCCTCATACAGTGCAGTATATACCCCCTAATAGCTTCAGTCTCAACTCCACAATGCGGTCATTGAGATATACTTCAGCATCTGTAACCCCTTTTAACTGCGCGCTGAATGCTGTAAATGCTTGTTGTTGCTTGGAATCGGCTCCATATTGATTAAACACTCAATCGCTGTGTGCAGAAGCCACTCACACAAGCAGAGAAGAATAGTCCTGTGTGGGAAAGTTTACTTCCGGTTTATGAAACTTCAACATGAAGGTAGCTGCATGAGCTTAAGATGGATGTGTTACTGCCTCAAGCTGGACAAACAGCTGTTCTAAAGCTACCCACCAAAATCTGTGTTAAAATAGATTTGAGGCCAGAATTTGTACATGCAGTTGCAACATCATGTGTCATTTGCTATTGACATCTGGATCTAAGAGTTGTTCATGATATTTGGCAGGTGGGAAGGAAGCAAGTCACCCTCAGTGTGTCCCACTTTCATGCTACACACACTAACTGTATGCAGCATGAACTAATGGTTTTACACTGCTTCTACTGCTCCACATAGTTCATGGTTTTACACAAAGAACGACCAGCCGTCCAAAACTCAAAGATATTCAATTTACCGTCAGGTATGAAAAGGAACAGCATCAAATCCTGACTTTTAGGAATCTGGAACCAGCAAACGTTTGGCATTTTTATTTAACTAAATTACAAAAAATTAGGAAAGTAGGAGCCATGGCCGTCACTTGTCTAAAGTTTTAGCCCCTTGCTGGATCTCTCTTAAAATTAGGGCTGAACAATTATAATCCTGATTATTTTAATAAATATTGCGATCACGATTATTTATAATAATTGTTCATTCTTTTTTGGGACAAAAGATTTTGATTGCACTTTCACATATAAATCGAATCAACAGATCTTCGCATCCAAAGAAGACTTAAAATAACGTTCTTCTCCACCTGAAATCAGAGCATTTTCGTTTTTGCCCGTCTGTTAAAACGTGTAATATACAGAATATCACTTTTCTGCTCTGGACTGCAACATTCCAGAAAGATTTTCACAGGTTGCCACTGTAGGTTGTGCGTGCAGCAGCATGACAGCGCCCCAAAGTGAAGCCAAATCATCTGGATCGCACCCCCCCCGGTAGCTGACTGTTAGTATAGGAAGTGATTTGCTGTGAAGCAGAGTTTTCTGAATGGAGCATGCGTTTTAAACATCTGCGGTTGTTGCAATCGCAATTTAATCACGTGAAGCCAAAACTGTGATCTGGCACCAAAAAAAAAGAAGAAAAGAAGATCTGCAGCCTCCAGAAAAGCCTCAAACTGTTCTCTACAGCTGAGTTCCTGAGCTTCAGTTTCTCTGGAGAGAACTTAGCAAAAAGGGGGGTAATCATCAACCGTCATATACAATATACCAAAACAAACACTACGAGGTATCTGCTACGTCTACCACGGTGGAATTGCGTGTTACCGTGCGGCAGTGTGATGCTGGCCCCGTCGAGGATAGCCTGAGCCAGCAGGTGGTCATTGCTCTCAAAGGCGCTGGCCGCGGCCCGCAGAGCATCCCAGATCTCCTTCCGACCCTCGAACGCTGGCGCCGTATCCCAGAACTCATCTCTCTTGCTGCGCAGCTGGCCTTCAGTCATCGGGTAGTCACTTTTCCATTTAGGCCGTTCTCTCTTCAGGGGCTGGTTACGCCCTAGAGTCACTGGGGGGGGGGACAGGATGAAAAAGACAGGATGGTGGGAGGAAGGAGAAAAAGAGATACACAAGAGTATGAATGTGAGGGTGGGGTAAATGGAAAGATGTGAGGTAAGAAAGAAAGATGGGGATGGATAGAGGAGGGGGAGAAGAAAAACAGAAAGAAATGGGGATGTAGGGAGGGGAAAGTAGATGGAGGGAAGTGGAAGATGACAGTCAGAGAGAGAGAGAGAGAGAGAGAGAGAAGGTGGGGAATACACAGAGGATGAAAATGAGAAGTAGGGATGAAGAGTAAAGGAGAAAGAAGGAATAAGAAGAGTTAGGATTCATCTGAAACAAAGCATCAGTTGTTTTGTATTTTTAGAGACTGCTCACAACTAAACTCAGATGACAGATTAAACATGAGCCTACACACCATCATGTGATATATAGACATGGAGCACACACTTAAGACTGAGCAGAACCGGAGCTAGACGTGTTGTGTTACTCAACCCAGTTACAAGGTTAGGGTTATAGCATCTAACAGTGCTCCATCTGCAGCAGAATGGCTGATGAATAACACCATCTGGATCAACACCGAAGGGGACAACAGGTACAGGGAAGTGTGTGTGTGTGTGTGTGTGTGTGTGCGTGTGTGTGCAACAGAGACAGAGGAGAGGATGACGGATCAAGGTGTTGAGTTACACCTGCTGCTGGTACACATGTTCTCTGATGATCACATGGCACAGTCCGATAACACCAACCTTCAACTGACTGTTTGTAGTAAATAGGAGCTCCAACTGACAGACTAGATTGACTTTTTCCCCTCTTTGGTTGGATATAATGATATAATTCGTTATGAGAGTGTTCTCTTTTTAAAAATGGCTCATAAAACCACCAGATTATTGTACTTAATGGAGGGACGAGGGTAAATGAGATCCTCGGTTGCCAAAATAAGAAACTTAAGTTGTGCGTGGGGGGATATTTAGATGTCCCAGCAGTACACTCGAACAGTTAATAGCATTTATAAACATCATCAGCGACACATGGCGATGTAAAACCTCAGCAGCAGCGTTTTTTTTCTTCCTTTTTAAGTCTATTCTTATTGCAGGTTGAATGCAGTCTACATTGGTACAGAAAAACAATCTTATTTTTAACATTAAAGTGGCGTAAAAGAACATACAATTATAACTATTTGGCAAATTCCGATGGGCAAGGTAGTTAAACAAAACAAAACTTCTGTTAGGAAACAAGAGCACAAACCAAGAGAGCAATAAACCATTGTCGACCATATATCCCACACCTTCCTCTGGCCTTATACCTCTTATATATTCTAACACTGGTGCCCTTGGCTTATCAAACACTCGCCACCTTCCTACATTCCTGAATTTAAGCTTTCCACGTTGACTACTTGTCCGTTTGTTCATACATCTGCAGTAACCTACTTTCCAGCTCATCCATCTGCTCATAATTTACAAATGCACTCATACACACGGGCCTACTTGGCTTTCTTTCAGTAATTCCTCAAAACAATTAGTGATGACGCTTGAACTAGATGAACCTAGTTATGACACCTGCTTTGGTGAAAACAGATAAATTGACATGTGTTCGGGTGTAACTGCCTCGTCTCTGTCCTCATCGAGCCGGGTGTCAAGTAACAGCTGCTTGTCTGCATCTTGTTTTAACACTGCGTCGCTTCTTGTTACTACGAACTCTCCTCCACAGATACAGGGATCTCTGGAACCTGTTTACGGGACATCTAGACGTCCAGGATGTCGGGGGAGATGACCGAACACGTCGGCGAGACGGATGCAAAAAGGAAAACACTGAGGAAACCAGGCTAAAGCTCAGCATCACAAAGCTCTATCTCCAAATCTGTGATTAAAATAACTCAGTGGTCAGAAGTGGAACCCCTTTTTTCAGACCAGACACGCAGGAAACTACAGCACAAAGTTGTCTACAGCACCGTAGCTTGATACAAATTAAAAGTGACAGTATCACCAGAAAAGAGCTAGTGGTAAAAAGCAGTGTACCCTAAGCATATTATTTGTAATAAGTGTATAACATGCCCAATAGCCTTAGGTATTGCATGCACTACTGCTTAAATACAATGAACCTAATCTGCTGCAGTCTTCTGTAGTCTGACACTACTCTGCTCTGCTCATAGTTGATCTCGGGCCTTGATCACAGTGAAAAACACACTTCCTTCATCATGAGGGTGAAGCACCCTTTAAGTTTTGACACCTCCTCCTCCTCTCTCTCCCCAACACTTCACAGCACTGAACATGCACCCAACGCCTCGCTTACACAAAAGACTCCATAAAAAAAAAGCCCTAACGTGTTTCATAGGTGCTGCGTGCATTCAGACAACAGTCCGGACGTGATTGAAATCAGACTGTATGACTCCCCATGCAAAGCCCTTGCCGTCTGTGACCCATATTTGTTATGCAGAAAAGCTAGCAAGCTAACGAGGCTACATTTTAGCCGGCTAGCTCAGTCAAAAGACCAAAGAACAAAAGGGAGGAAAGCGTCGCACAGTAAATACCCCCCCTAGTTTTTAAAGTAGCGACGAGGCGTCCTTTCTCGCTTCGAGGCCCGCTGTGTGGAGGGAGATACCCGGGGTGAGCTGCCGTGTCTGTCTCCGGCTCTGTCTGGCTCGGGTATAAAGGAAGGGAAGAAGACCTCCAGCCAGGACAACATGCAAAGAAAAGCCCACAGGAAGCCCCCCTAAAAAAACAAAGAAGCCACGCTCGTACGCACTGAAATAGGTTGATAAGCGCTGCGAGTTACCTCCAGTGCCGTCCGAGTTCTCGTTTAAGCTGCCCGAGGAGTCGTGGTGGCTCCCGACACAGCCACCCATGGATGTTTCGGCAGAGCAGCCCGGGCTAGGTAGCTCACCCCCCGGCCCACAGCTAGAGCTACATCCACTAGCCCCCCCTCTCCCTCCCTCCCTCTCTCTCTCTCTCTCTCTCTCTCTCTCTCTCTCTCTCTCTCTCTTTCTCCCCCCTCCCCTTCTTTACTTCCTTCCCTCCCGTCCTTTCTCCTCGTTTCCTCGCGTCCTCCCTTTTTCTCCTTCCCTCCTCCTCCTCCTCCTCCTCCTCCTCCTCCCTCCTCTCAGCATCCGCGGGGCACAGCAGGCCCCCGCATCTTCATCTGTGGGGAAGGCAGAGAGAGAAAGAGCCACAGAGAGGCTCGCATCGTCACAAGGTGACCGAGAGAGGAATGAGGGAGAGGGGGAGAGAGGAGGAGGAGAGGGGAGAGAACAAAGGAGAAGTGAACTGTAACAGGAAGGATGCAGTCTCCTTTAGGGCATCACATGTTCTAGACTTTAGACTCAGTTGATGATTATGATTTTTGACACGTGCTAGACTCGTATGTTTGTATGTATGTGTGTGTGTGTGTGTGTGTGTATGTATGTGTGTGTGTGTGTGTGTGTGCAGAGAAGCTGGTTTCTGTCCTGAAGAAGACACAGCAAATCACTTAACCTTTTTTCGTAAATGCCAAGGAGGACCCCTGCTGTTAGCTACTGTTGGCCTCAGTGATTGAAATTCATGTTAAGAAGGCTGGGTCATCTATCCTATTCTATTCTATTCTATTCTATTCTATTCTATCTTGGATAGTAGGGCCTTCAGGGATTAGACTACCAGTAGTTTTGAGGTTTTTAACACTCACTCACACAGACTTTAAATGTGTTGCGTAATGTAGGTAGAATGATTTCACAACACAGAGTGACAGAGTGTTATTGCGCTATCCTCATGCATGGTAGGGCAGATTTATTTAGTTTTTTTGCCGACATGAATGTGATTTGACAACACAGAGAAATGTAGTTATTGTGCTCTTCCATTTCAGGCTGTCTTGCAGAGGCATTCTTATTATACTATCAGTAGTTTTTAGGTTTAACCACATTTGTTGATTTGCAGATTTCCCAACACAGTGACATCTTTAATTATATTCTCTTATACATTGTATGGTTCAGTGGTTGGATTATGTAGGTGATAGAAATCTGATTTTACATCACATAGTGGAATGTATACTACCTATTCCATTCTGTGCTATTTCAGTCTTGCAGGGAGGCTTTTTTATTATCGTACCAGTAATTAGGTTTTAACACGCATAGGTTTTCAACACACTGTGAAATTAAGTATAGTATTACTCTATTCTATTATCTCCTTTTCACTTATATTCTCTTTCATTATTTTTTACGTTGTAATCTTCTCTTCTCTGTCAGAGCAGTTCTACTCACTTTATTTCTGCATCTGAATGCTGCAATGTTACACCAGATGGACACTCTCCGCCTGCTCACTATCTTTAGGACTGTCCTAAAGAGACTTGAGTGTAATTTGACACACTAGCGTGTTCATGTACACACACACACACACACACACACACACACAATAGCAACGCGATAGCGAGGTTACCGTTTCAACAAAGCTGTGTGGAATTACAATTACTTCCCATTGCTAGGAACTGAAAGAAGACATTTAGGCAGCAGAGAGCTTACTTAGAAACCCTTTCCTGATGGTCACATGACGTAATATGATGTAACAACTCAGAACACACTTGACATGTCGCTGCATATTCTGTGATCAAGGTCACAGCAGGAGATTCAGAATGTTGTTTTTTATTATCTTCTCTGCCTCGTCTCCCATTCATGACGCAAGTGATTGAACATTGCTTTTTATAGCAGGATGTTTTTCTTCAGGAGGTGCTTCTGTCTTTCGCCTCAGGGTACTGATTGTAGTTGGGAATGCTGCCTTTTTTAGGACCAAGGAGTGAATTTAAATAAAGATCACTGAGGCCTTATAGAATCTCAAACCACCTTGTTATGGGCATGTCCTAAAAAAGTTACACGGAAACTTTAAACTTATAAAAAAATGTGTTTGTATGGTTCCAATTAAAGTCCTAGACTAGTGTCACCATTAAGCTGTGAAATGGCACCGCACTTTTCAAGGCAAGAATAGGCTGCTGACCAAACAGACATGGAAAGTTTATTTCTGAGATTTACAGTGACCTCTAATTACTTTCTTTTATCCGACAGTAGAATTAAATTGTAAATATCTATAATAGCAAAATGATTTGATGTCGATAACACACAACAAGTGTAGTTAAGATATATTGACAGCAGAAAGACTCGTGAGGTTCAATGGCAGTTATAAGACACTCAAGACACACTGTAGCCAGTAGCAAGTTTTGAAAAACACAATTTTGTTAATGAAATACAGTCTTGAAATGTTTGTCACAGATGTTTCAAATTAGATTTGTTTGAAAACCTCAGATCCATCTGTTTGTGCATGCAACTTATGCCACAGTAAATCATATGTATTACAAGGCAGAAGTAAAATTACACAATTGAATACAGTCTTCTGCTCGTATAGGGCTCAGCCAGTAGATGGAGCCAGAGAGTCTGAACCGCAGACTGAGGTACCAAAATACTGTGTGTGTGTGTGTGTGTGTGTGTGTGTGTGTGCGCGTGCGGGGGGGGGGGGTTTATGTCTTGCGGGGACATAAATCAGTTTACACAGTCACATTGTGGGGACTCGTCTTCCTTATGGGGACAAAATGAACATTCTCATAACGTTTGAGGGTTAGGCTAATAGCAGTTATGGTTAGGGTAAGTCTCCAGGAACTGAATGTAAGTCAAGTTAATCAAAGTCATGAAAACACGACTGTGTGTGTGTGTCAGAGAAAGACAGAGAGAGTGATGGAGGCTAAAGTTCAGAAACATCAATTATAGGCCCTTATTGGTTTTCTAACAGAAGCTCGTTAGTTATTTTTTCTTGCTGGTTTTGAAATTTAATAAAACGTGTTGCACCTGTCATGGTGCTACTTTATAAGTACACTAAGGCCTAAGGCCCTATCAGCACTTTCTTGTCTGGCATCATGTCTAACGTCGATCATCTACTGTATCATTTCTGTGGGATATATTTGGCACCACTCATATGCAAAAAACAAACAAAAGAAAACATGGATATAATGCATGTAATGAAAAAACACTGAAATAGTCACACTGGTTGTTCACTCTGGCTGCTGGGACAGTCTCAGCTCAGTCTCCTCTGCAGGCCAACAATCACACACCGACCAGCTTTTCACAGAGATTCTTCTTTATCTGGCATTTCTCTCTGATCTCTAATGTTTACCCCCTTTATTCTCTGAGGCTCTCTTCCTTCATCATCTTTCATCTAGCCAACAGAACAGCTGACAAAGAGGTTGATAGGCGTGTCATTGATTTATTTTTAACTGCCTGGATCTATTGACTGTTAAGCACAACCCACCCAAACCAAATCTATATAACTGGAGAGTGTATTTGATGATGACTGGAGAGTCTGGGCTGTTTGAATCTTTTAAAATCATTCACATCCATGCTGTGTGTGTGAAGGAGGCTAGCACCCGGCACACACTTGATTCATTGATTCAAAATTGCATGCTTTGTCAGAGCAAACTGCAAAATATTAGAGATGAAGCATGGGAAGGAGCCAACAAGAGAATAAGTAAAATAGACTTTAAAAAATCAGTCTTGTAGATGGAGACAAAAAAAGATGCATTGTAAAATGTATCTGCATTAGTGTGGATATGCTCTATGATCCTCTTTGTGGTCCTGAAGTGTGTTTTTGTAAATTGTGTATACTTTCATTTCACACGTACTGTAGTGCAGTTGTTTGTATGAATAGTTGTTGTTCTGAAACAGTGTTTTGTGGAAATCTACAAAATCGCAAACAACATTCACAATGTCAAGTTCTGAAGAGGTTACAGGAAAGACCAATATCAAATGTGTTCCCCTCCGTGGAATAATGGTGGAAGTGTGAAGCGAGCAGCACAGCACCAGCGTTCAGCACAACGTGCTTTTAAACTTAAATGACATGAGACAGCAGGTGATGATGTTGGTGTAGAGGGATGAGGAGCAAACAGCGGAGAGTGATACCAACTCACCTCCTGTGCATAGAGGACCCGTTCCTAATTCCTAGCATCTGTGCACAGATTCATTAAGTCTGCAGTTTTATTTTCTGGCACACACTGCTTTGTGGGAAAATATCATTATGAACTGGTGGGACTAAACAATAATGCAGATGGCAGCATCATTAGAAGATGAAATAAGTGAGGGTATTAACAGTTTATGGGTAGGGCAAGTCTCTAGGACATTAATGTAAGTCAATGTCTGTGTGTCAGAGACATACAGAGAGAGTGATCGAGGCTAAAGGTCAGAAACATCCATATTCTAAAGATTAAGTGTAATTATAGGCCCTTATTGGTTTTCCAACAGAAGCTCGTTATTGTTTTCTCTCTCGCTGGTTTTGAAATTGAATGAAACGTGTTGCACCTGTCATGGTGCTACATTATAAGTACACTAAGGCCTATCAGCACTTTCTTGTCTGGCATCATGTCTAACGTCGATCATCTACTGTACCATTTCTGTGGGATATATTTGGCACCACTCATATGCAAAAAACAAACAAAAGAAAACATGGATATAATGCATGTAATGAAAAAACACTCAGAAAATAGCCACACTGGTTGTTCACTTTGGCTGCTGCAGTATCAGCTCAGATGTCTGTCTCCTCTGCAGGCAAACAATCAAACATCCTTTTTCAGGTTGAAAAAAATAACTTTTCAGACACTGAATTTCACAGAGATTCTTCTTCATCTGACATTTCTCTCTAATCTTTGTCGCTGTTGTTTCTTTCACTGTCTACCCCCTTTTTTCTCCGAGGCTCTCTTTCTTCCTTATCTTTCATCTAGCCAACAGAACAGCTGACACGGAGGTCAACAGGTGTGTCATCGATTTATTTTTAACTGCCTGGCTCTTGCGCTGTGCCCTAAGTCTTCAGCCGTATATCTGCCCTTTTATCTATCTGAAGCTGACGTCCCAATTGTCTGGCCATTTGAATATCTTCAACTGCCCCATCTGTGTTGAAGATTGGGTCGCTATGGATCTATTGATTTACTACTATCTGTCAAGCACAACCCCCCCC